CAAGTGTAAGTCAAGTCTCAAGTGTTCGAGGTATAAACCAAGTCGGGGAGTCAACTTAAACCTGGCGGAAACCCTGACCCAACTTTTAACTTTATACTGCATAATAATGATCTAATAATGTCAAATATGATAATATATCAGTCACAGGGACCGGTCTTCTGCAGTACTGATACTTAAGTAGGACTTTTTATTTGTTACATTGATGTGCTGGTACCTTTACTTAAGGAAATATTTTGTGTATAAAAGAAACTACCAGTTTCTATTCCCAATTGTTGATGTTGATTGTTTTGTGACGCTTGGATTGTTTTATTTATTATCCCTATTATTATTTACAAAGAGTCGTGAGGACATAAGGGTGGTGACAGCCAAATAACATCCCAAAGACAGTGCCCTGTCAAATAGTGAAACTCATAAAAAGTGTTATCTCATAGAAAAAGCGCATAGATACTGTCACACTCCCAACGTAAACTAAATTCCAAGCACAGCTGGTCGTTTTAAAGGGATTGTAATCATATATATATATAATCATCTCCAGTTTCCAGTGTAACTTCAGAAGTAAACATTCTTTACAACCTCAGCACATGAGGTAAAGAAGATGCCCGCTGCAGAGCAAATATTTTCTCTTGGCTGGAACTGGAAGAAAATGAGATCCTGATGTAAATCAAGTATTTCCACAGAAGGGGGCCGAGTCGCAGGTTCCCAAGAAGAGTCGTGCCTGTGCCAAGTTTCACATTATCTTTTCCGTGTATTGTCTGGCATGTTTGCAAGGGAAACCTAAGCAGCTGCCACAACAAACAAGCAGGTCTTAACTGTCGGAGCTGATTTCAGTGTAGCTGGATCCTGTAAGGTTTTGTGTTGTGTTGCAAATAATAGGCAATAACACTCAGAGTATGAGTAGTAGGCTACTGTGCTTTACTCTATTTCTATTTCAGTTAATGTTTTTCTGTAATCAGAAGAATTATTTAGTTTAAGATGAAGTTTGAGTATTTTTAATATGGATAAAATGTATAATAAAAGATCAGAACAGATAAGGTATATGTTATTTGTTGTGTATATATGCATGCATGTTATTTTCTTTTATCCTATCCTAAAGTAAAATGTTTGAATATATATGTATGTTTGTGTGAAGGGGCTCGAATTTAATTGTGCATCCCTGTATGTAATCTGCATAAATATGATTATTTTTTAGCCTAAAGTCAAACAAAACAGCAAAAGAAGAGATCAAAATATAACAGCTGAAGAAAATACCAAAGTATTGATATGAACTTTTGTGTCACACGTCATTCTTCCTCTTTGGGTCATTTTGAGTTTATTGAAGTGTGACATAACAAACATACACACGCACATGCTGTTGACCCAAACTGTATAATTATCCAGAAACTGAAAACAGGCCCTTCTCGTTAGGGCACCTTCGTGCTTCCTGAAGAAGGCGGGCAACGTGACATTCTTGTCATTTAGTGGCATAGAGCCTTTATGTCTCGATATGTGACAGCCGCAGGGCCAACAGCAGTGATGTGATAATAATTGTGTATTTTATCTCTCAGAACCTGAATGAAGTGATTTATGGGGACAAAGGGGAGGAGGGGAGGTGTTTTGGTGTCTGCATATACACATTAACTTCAATTCAAGATCAAGGGGAGGGGGAGTGAGTCAGTGCGGCCCTTCCAAAAGCTCGGCCCTCTGTCATTACTGACATCTCTTCTCCGCACATTCACTGATGTTTGTTATACAACACTGTTTTTGCACACACATCTTGACTTTGCTCTACAAAATCACAGAAATAACAACAATCTCAACTTTTAGCTGAATTGTCCACTTGATAAAAATTGCACACCTTCTCACATTTCTTTTTAACAGTAGACGCAGTGTGGGAACGAAACAGGGGAACGTTACCAGACTTTTGCAACAGCAAGAGTGAGAACAACGTATTTCATTTCCAGAAAGTGTCACAGCTGACCTGTGATTTGTAAAACACCTTACCACACACTCCTGATTACCCAATGCCATGCAACAGGGTCACAAGCCTGAGTAAAAACTGATGAAAAACATGCATTTAAGACATAAAGAAAGAACTTTCTCAAGTGTAGTAAATGGTCTACATCTAAAATCTTGTCGTGTCTAAAGGCCAGAAAAGTCTTGCAGTATTTACTATGCTGATAGTACAGATGTGTCTCTTTTATGGTGGGAGCTTTATTTATTTATTTAATCTCATGAGTTGTAGACAACCTGAGTCAGAAGTCTGAGTCGGTGGTGTTGGGAGACATTTTCATATTCGGAAAGGTTCGGTTAGAATAATTCCCAAAATAAGATTTTTTTTTCGCCTTATCTGCTTCCATGTTGTTGTTTGAATGGTTCTTTTTAACAATTTTATTACTGAATATGATTTTGTCTTTTAATCTACATTTTTATTTTATGGGTATTATTAGGATGGGAGCACTGTAATCTCCATACTTTTATGGATGAATAGATTGAACCTTGAAATGTAATAATAGGCTTTTCTTATTATTTAAATTGATCTCTATCTCCTACAAATAAGGTTACATATTGTGATTTAAACATCAAATAAATAACTCAAATAAATGAATGAAAACCATCCTACGTTTTGTTTTATGCAAAAAGAAATTTACATTCTTCTTCATTTAGGTCATTATAACTTGTCATAACAGGAAAAGCAAGTGTTGCAGGTGCCACTTATGCCTCTGTAGGTCATAACAGTGTGATAGTGAGCCAGCACGCACCATACCAGGACCCTGAAACTGAAGCAGCTGAATGGAACTCAGTCACCTTTCATTTTTTCCCTTTTAACACATGCTTTTCATACTGCGACATGTCAAAATCTTCTGTCAGAAGTCGCATTGCAACAAAAACATATGATGAAGCGGGCATGTGCAGTAACATATTGCGTCAATAGGACATTGGGTCAACTCAATAAAAAAGCACATATTGTATCACATTTAAAAGGATCCTCTTTGCCACAAACTCATTTTGGTGTCAAGCTGTTGTCATCTTTGAAAGCTACGTCCAAGCCAGTGCAGAAGGTGAGTGTCTGAATTAGTTTATTCTCATAGGTTAGAAAATACATTAATACATTTAGAAAGGGATCACATTTGTGTATATTAAAGAGCAGTGTTGGAAGACTTAAGTAAAAGCAGCAATGCCACAGTGTTACATGTAAGAGCCCTGCATTAAACATTAGTATCAGCATCAAAATAGTGTAAAAGTACTCATTTTACAGATTGAGCCTTATAAAATAATATATATTATATTATTGGATAATGATTTTTGCATTACTTCTTAATTTCAGTTAGTAAATGTGAGGCTACTTTTAATTTATTTATAAATTGTTTAACTCTTTACACACTGCTGGGTAGTTTGTGGATTCCCCCCTTGAGTAAATGTACTTAGACTAAATAACTCAGTTGTGTTGGTATAAATAAAAAGTTAAATTCATATACAGTAAAATCCAGTTAATGCTACAGCCTTACTTGGACTGGTATGAACCGTAGTTCACATTAGCTGATAGCAAACGTATTTACGATTATCCCAGTTTTCAAAGCTTGAAAAGGATTTCATTTAATGCACGCTCTTGCTGTTGTTTCCAAATCTGTTTAAGCGTATTTAGTCCAATAATAGAGTTTTTTTACAATGTAAATAAGGCAGAATATGCAGGTTTTCAAATTCTTCTTGCTTTCTGCATCTTAAAAACTCTTTAGTCATCTTTAACATTTAAGCTGAATCACTGTTTTTGTACTGCTGTGATAGTGTACTATAACAGTCTGTCTTTTTCATCCATAGTCATGTCGATCTTTGTTACCTTTGGTGGGGATTACCTGGATCTAGGGAATTATACCGACGACTACAATTACACACCCTACGTTGTGGATCCAAATACGTTATCATGTGAGATAGAACCTCTGGATCCTACAGTAGCTTTGACCCTGTGTCTCCTCCTAATTGGCATCTTTTTACTGGCTGTACCCGGGAACCTGTTAGTGGGGTGGGTGATCGGCACCAGCAGACAGGCAATGACTCCATCGGATGTGTACTTGTTTCATCTGACGATAGCAGACGGTCTGATGGCCCTGAGCCTCCCGTTCTGGGCTGTGGCACTGCTCAAAGGATGGATCTTTGGAGACTTCATGTGCAAGTTCGTCAACCTCATCATCGAAGCAAACTTCTACACCAGCATCCTCTTCCTGGCCTGCATTAGCGTTGACCGATATCTGGTGATTGTGCACGCCAGCGAGAGTCTCAGGAGTCGTCAGAGGATGTGCAGCACGCTCCTCTGTGCAGCGGTGTGGGCCCTCGGTGGGGCCCTCGCTCTGCCTGCACTTTTCAACGATGCCACTAAGCTAGAATCTGACTCAAAGAAGATGATTTGTTTTGAAAACTTTGACATTGGCAATGCCAGCTTTTGGAGGCTCGCCACCCGCGTGTTTCGCCATGTTTTTGGCTTCTTTCTCCCTCTGGGTGTCATGGTAACCTGCTACAGCGTCACCATCGAGAGGCTGCTGCGCACTCGAGGTTTCCAAAAGCACCGGGCCATGAAGGTGATCATAGCTGTGGTGATTGCGTTTCTGCTGTGCTGGACCCCGTACCATATAACCATGGTGGTGGACACATTGCTGAGGTTTGATCTGGTGCGGTTTGACTGTGCCGTGAGGAGGTCGGTGAGCATGGCTTTGCTCATAACCAACAGCCTGGCTCTGCTCCACAGCTGCATCAACCCTGTCCTCTACGCCTTTGTGGGGGTGAAGTTCAGGAGAAACATGGCGCTACTTTTTCAGAGGAAAGGGAGACAGGAGAGGATCTCGGGGTCAAAGTTCAGCAGGTCGACGTCTCAGACCTCAGAAGGCGTCGGAACTGTGCTCTGAAACCTCACTGGACTGTTTATTTAATGTACAGTATATGCCCTGATTTATCCAGGCCGAGAAAGGAAGATGCACTCCCAAATCCTGCTCTTAAAAAAGAAAAGTTGTAACAAGTACAAGATCTTCTGTTCTCCACCTATTGTAAAGTCTCCCTGCAGCCTGTGCAATATTTTATTAATGGAGAGATAGATATGAATGGGAATAAAGAGAAGGCTTTATGTCTGAGCTGAGTCAGAAGAGTCTACAGCCAGCAGTTCTATGATGAGGCTGTATTGGACACATTTTTCCCTAAAGATGGCAAATGCCAAAAACTCAGAGGATCATCAAAGTCAATGTTTTATCCTGATGGAAACATGAATGCTTGTCCAAACTTTCATGTCAATCCATATTTATAGCTGTCAAGACATTTTGCACTCAGAACTACAAACGTTAACCTCATGGCGGCACTAGGAACAGGCAGAGCCTCATCAAAGTCATTAGGATTCATCCTCTGGGGAGCATTAATGTCTGTACCCCATTTAATATTGATCCATCCAATAGTTGCTTAGTCTGGACCAAAGTGGTGGACTGACCATCTGACATCCACAGAGCCACAATGCCACTAGCATTGCTAATACAATGGCTTCATGTAGACGTCAGTGCTAAATAAAAAGACTATGAAATTATGACGAGAGTTTCTGAGAGCTACAGGGAGAGATAAAATGGATATTTCAAAATGGCTTCATACATTTTCAATCAACTTCAGTTTA